CTGCCTCTGCCTCTCAAGTGCTGGGATTAAAGGCGTGCGCCACCACCACCTGGCTGATGTTTCTATTTCTTAAAGTCTTTGCTGTCTCACTTTTCAGTTTAGCTTCTGTCATTGTATCTTCAGATTTGGCATTTTTAAAAAAAGATTTATTTATTTTTGTATATGGATGTTTTGTCTGGTGTACATTTTTATATCAGAAGAAGGTACTGAATCCCACGGGACTACAGTTACAGACAGTAGTGAACTCCCATGTGGGTACTGGGAATTGAACTCAGCACCTCTGAAAGAACAGCCAGTGCTCTTAACTGCTGAGCCTTCTCTTCAGCCCACCAGATTTGACAATATTTTGTTTGTTTGTTTGTTTTCAAAACAGGGTTTCTCTGTGTAGCCCTGGCTGTCCTGGAACTTACTTTATAGATCAGGTTGGTGTGGAACTCAGAAATCCACCTGCCTCTGCCTCCCAAGCGCTCGGATTAGAGGCGTGTGTCACTACCCCCTGGCTTAGATTTGGCAATCTTTTTATGTCCAATGTCTTAGTTACTTTTCTGTTGCTGTGAATAGGCAGCATGATCACGGGAACTTAGAAAGAGTTTATTTGGCTTTCAGTTTCAGAGTGGAGTCCTTGACTGTCATGGTGGGAAGGGCATGGCGGCGGCAGCAGGCAGGTGTGGCACAGGAGCAGGACCTGAGAGCTTACAGCCTTATCCACAAATGTCCACACACTTTTGTTGGGCATAAAGAATAAAATTCCTTTTGTAGGAAAGTTGATCCTGGAGATGATTCTAGTAAGCCCGGCTCAGAAGGACACATGACACTTCTCTTTCATCTGTGGACTCTATATTGTATATGATAAACAGCATCATTGTGTGAGCCTCTGGGGGACATTTCTCATTCAGACTGCCACATGCACTCTAGTTGTTGAATGCAGTGTGTTTCTGGGCAAGGTCTTCATCAACTTTAGTTGTCAGCTTGACACAGCTGTCACCTAAGAAGGAAGTCTCAATTGTAAAATTGCCTGGGTCAGGTTGGCCTGTCGGCATATCTGCGGGGAATTGTCTTGAGTGTTAACTGATGTAGGAGGGAGCAGCCCACTGTGGGCGGCACCATCCCTTGAGCACTGGTCCTAGACTGTGTACAAAAGTTAAGGGAGGGGTAGCCTGTAAGTGACCCATCAAGCAGTGTCCCCCATGCTTACCTCCCTCCCTCGAATTTCCTCAGTCATAGACTGTGACCTGAAAGTATGAGACAGATAGCCCTGTGCTCCCGTAAGTTGCTTTTGGGCTGAGTGTTTCAACAGAGTAAGAGGAAGGAGCAGGTTTGCCTGGGACGATGCTCAGACCTTAGGATTTACTACTGAGATGGGCCTTGAGACTGCTGAGCTCCTGGAAGCCAGAAGCCTCCCCACAAGACAATGGCTTAGTTCATTGTTTGAGTTTCTGTCATTAAATCCATATGCATTTTATTGATTTGATTTTTTATGAGTTAGGCTCTTACTATGTAGCCCTGGGTAGAAACTCACTGTGTAGACTAGGCTAGCCTCAAGATCTGCCTCCTGAGTGCTGGGATTAAAGGCGCGCACCACCACACCCAGCATGGTTTTGTTGTTTGCCTTTTTTTGTTTGTTTGTTTTGTTTTTTGAGACAGGATCTCGTGTAATCCAGCCTGGCATCAAACTTCAGAATGTCCTTGACCTCTTGATGTTCCAGCCTGCATCTGCTGGGCACTGAGGCTGCAAGTCTTGCCTCAGTATGGATGTCATATTCTCATGGCCATTAGGTTGCTGGCTCACAGCCTCAACCTCAGTACTCTTAGAGGCCGAGGAAGGAAGACAGTGAGACCTAGCCACAAACCAAAACACAAAAGCTTTCTCAGCAACTTAAACCTTCAGGATTTTTGGCAACAGAGTTGTTGAATGCTACAACTTAGTAAAGAAGAGTGGTCTTGCTCAGTTTTGTTGTCACCTTGTGCTGTGAGACTTTGGGTTGATTTTTCTTTCTGTTGTCTGCTTCTCCATGTAGGGTACCAGTTGATTGGCAGCCACTCTGGTGTGAAGCTTTGCAGGTGGACAAAGGTATTTATTGGCTTTATTCAAATATTTCTGTTTTCTGCAACTTATTTATTTTATATGTGTGCGCACACGTGGCAGTCAGAGCTTCGCCTACAGGATGCAGTTCTCTCCTTCACCCTTGTGGGCTCTGGGGACCAAACTCAGGTCTTCAAGCTTGACAACAGAGCCTGTCCCCTGTGAGCCACTTTGATGGCTCCCTTAGGTTCTGAGCAGTGGTGTTGAGGTATACTTTACATGCAGTACATGGCTCACTTTAGCGTGTCGATAGCCAGCATCACAGTCTGACTTCAGGATCTCTCTCTAAAAAAAGGCCAGCATCCACATTCTTGGGTCTCCCCCAGCTCTCATGAGCCATTGATCTGCCTTTCATCTCCACATTAAGTGGCTCATTGTGCCTGCTTTCTGTCACTGGCCTGATGTTTCTGTGGCACAGCTGTTGGGCACCATGGATCTACATTTGATTCTTCACCATGGCTGATGGCATTGCGTGTCTCACCTTGTCTATTCATTGAGACATTGAGTAATGGACACTGGGCTGGCCTTGAACTCCTGATTCGCCTTCCTCTACTTCCCAAATGCTGGGATTACACACGCAGTACCATGCCCTGTTTGTGTGGTCTTGGGGCTTAAACCCAGGGCCTCATTCCTGCTGGATGGTCACTGTACCTCTCAGCTACATCCTAAGAAACTATTTAATCCTAACTCGTTCCTCTTCCTTCTTCCTAAGATACAAACATTCCAAGAGACTTTTGCTCTGAAACTTTCTGTTACTCCGTCTACTTTTGGTGGCAGTGTGCTCAGCCCTGCACATTAGTTAATGGCTTCCACATGTCATATTCCCCATGGTTCTCTTTTCCAGTCCAGTGACTTTCAGTGACGTCTGACTTGGTGTCTTCTGCATACAGCCAGTAATAAGCAGTGTCTTTTTTACCATCGTTAAATTCAATTTTCAGATAGTAAATCACATGCATAATTTTGAAAATTGGTGTTTCATCCAATCTGTAATGAAATGAATTATGTTAGATGTGTATTTCCATGTGGAATCCTGTGAGGCTTCAGTGGTGGATGCCTTGGTGAGGGGCCAGCTGCTGTGTCTAGATCTGCTGTCCCACTTCCTCCATGGCCGACTCCTCTTCCTCCTCCTCCTCCTCCTCCTCCTCCTCTTCTTCCTCCTCCTCTTCCTCCTCCTCATCTTCCTCTTACACATCTTCCTCTTCTTTCTTCTCTTCCTTTTTTCTCTTTCTATTCTTTCTTCTCTTAGCTCCTCCTCCCCCGCTCCCCTCTCCTCCTTATGTGTGGCGCTGAGCATCAAGCTGGAGTCTCACCTGTGCTAGGCAAGCATTTTATCACTGAGCCGCGCCCACAGCCCTCCCACTTTAAGTGGATACACGTTTAAATTTGAGAAAGATTGGAAGTTGCTCTGCATGGGAAACAGTGAGGTGCCAGGCTTATTTATATATGCTAAGACTAAGAGGGAAGCAGCCCTTAGCGAAGGAGGGCTTCATTCAAGTGAAGCAAGGGAGGAAGGAGGCTGCACACAACTCCCCAGACTCAGACCTCATTCATAACTCAGAATGGGGGTGGAGTCCTGAGAAGTCACTTGCTGGGGAGGTTGGCATGGAATGACACAGAAAATAGGCCTTATGTTTTGAAATGCCGTGACTCGTTAAGGCCCATGCTTTGTCTCTAATTTATTTACTTTAATTTTAATGTAAAGTGTGTGTGTGTTTGTGTGTGCATACATGAGTGTAGAAGAAAGCTGGAGTTCCAGGTGGTTGTGAGCTACCCGATGTGGGTGCTGGGAACTGAACTTGAGACTTCTGCAGGAGCGCCATGTGCTCGTCATCCCTCCAGCCCTGTTTCTAATCTGTAATAAGACTTGGAAGTGGTCCCCTTTAAGCCATTCCCACTGCACTAGGCCATGTATTGAAAACAGGAATACTAGGAAGGACTAGGCCAATGTGGACCGCAGACACAGCTTCAGAGCAAGTGATGGGCAACCCTAAAATGATCCAAACACATGATTACTACAGCTAGGTTTTTATTCAGTCACTTTACTCACGGGATTATTAGCAGTATATGTGTAGTTGCCAGTAATTTAAAATTATATTATAAAAATTATATAAATATAAATAATATAGAATAAGTATAAATATAAATAATATAAAAGTTATATTAATAAGAATTCTATAGGCAATTATTTTATCTTTCTTGACTGTTTTGGATATAAGGCCTTACTGTATAGCCCAGGCTGGCCTTGAATTTCTAGTCCCTTTGAGTCCTGAGATTATGGATGCACACCACCATGCTTGACGAAGCTACCCTGTGACTTTGAAGGTGACAGTGTCTTGTTCAGCAGTCTGAGTTTGTGCCAGGGTCTCATACTTTCCGTGTCCTGTCACCAGTGGCTTCTCGGTCTCCTCCCTGTGCTCTCTAGTTACACAGCTCAGCAGTTATACAGCTTTGCCTGTTCACTTGCCCAGGACAACAACTGGCAGCTACCACCCCGTCTCTTTTTATTATTCCCATATCTGTCTATAAACAAATATTCCCAAGGGCTGGCAAGCGGCTCAGTGTCTGAGGGTGCTTGTCACTGGATTTGACCATTCGTGTTCAGTAACCGTGACTCACAGGGTGCAAGGAGAGAACCAAGACTCACAAGAAGTCCTCCTGTATACAGAAGATGATGATGGTTTCCAGTAAAACATTTTGTCACTTAATCCAGCAGGGAAGCTACAGATATGTCGGTAGGGCTGTGGGTGTGGTTCAGTTAGTAGAGTACTTACTTGCCTTGCACGCTGGAAGCCTTGGCTTCTCTATCTCCAGCACTGGGTCAGCTGGTGGGGTCGTGTACACTCACAACTCCAGTACCCCTTAGAAGTGTTCAAGACCATCCTTGGCTACATAGAGTGTGAACCCATCCTGTTGTATGTAAGACCTTGTCTCAGACAGACAGACAGAGCTCCCATGGAGACTTCCTGAAGACAGGGTAGGCAAGGAAGCATGTGAAGCCCCAGGCAGCAGCAGCAGTTGTCACCTGAGTGAAGTTGTCTTGAGTGGCTGAGCAGTTGTGTGAAGGGTGAGTGACCTCTGTAATTCAGTGTCACATTAAGTCAGAGTTTGAGGCCCTGTGCTAGGTGGCAGGTCTCTGCACTGGGTGGGGACTGGGTCATGGATTGCTGCTCATTTGGAGCATGTGAGTTATCTGTGTGGTGGGGAAATCAGTTACAGTGACAGACCATAGAGCCGGGACTGTTGAGAGCCCCGAGCAAAATCAGCACTCTGGGTGTAGAGAGGGATGGAGAGGCGCTTGATGAGAGAAGCCAATGACCTGCCATCTTCTTCTGAACTTCCACGGCAGAGCTTATTTGGCTGAGAGATTATGAGCCTGGCTGGCATCTCCAAACATGCTGGTAGGGCTTGGCATCCTCCGCTGGGGGGTTTGGTGTTCTTTAGCCAGGAGGCGTGGCTCTGAGGTGTGCTGTGGAAGGAGGTGGTGAGAGGAGGGCAGCCGTCGGGCGTGGGGAGCATCACAGAATCCCGAAGTCTCAAGTCCTCCACCCAAAAGGAGATGGTGACGGAGACCGGAGACCGGCGCTAGCTGCCTCAGCCTCACAGAAAGGCATGCCTCCTTAGGCTCTACTCTCTCCTAGCTTGAAGGGGAGCCCCTCCACTGAGATAGGCAGGCCCAGTTCTCCTGACAAAGGGCACTGGCATTCTCACTAACATCAAATAGGGCATGCTGTCTTCCGTCTAGCTGGGCCTGGAATTCCTTCTCTGTCTGCAGATACCAGTCAACCAATTTCTGTGAGAAGAGACCATTCCCCCACAAGAACTTGGCCTGAGAAATGCTCTCCTTCCTTGCTGGCCTGACATTTTCTTTGCTAATTATACCATAGCAGTACCATGTTAACCAGGTAGCTCTTGTAGTCAGGGCAGCCCCTTTGTCCCTGTGAGGGCAGGAGTTTCATTTCTGTGGAGTATACAGGCCAGAGGGAGCCTTGCTATAGAAGCAGCCCAGGCTGAGGAGTCCACTGGCTTGACACCGTTGTCTTCCAGTGAACCAGCAGACACCAGGGGCCATTCAAGGTAAAGGTAATCTGTAAAGGCTAGGGCAGTTCTGTGGCTTCGGAAAGCCTGGCACAGGACCTGTCTCCCAGCTCAGCAAAGTAAAGTGGGGGGGAGGGGGGAAAGGTGTAGATCACTGGTTCTCAGCCTTCCTAATGCTGCAGCCCTTTACTGTATCTTCTCATGTTGTAATGAGAGCATAACAAACATAACATTTGGTTTTTGTTGCTACTTAATTGTAATTTTGCTGCTGTTATGAATCTTAATGTAAATATCTGATATGCAAGATATCTCATAGGTAGTCCCTGTGGGGTCACGACCCACAGGTTAAGAACTACTAGTCTAGACTTTCCTCCATGACACTGCAGAAAAATCACCTGTCACAGCAAGGACTTGAGAAAGTCGTAACTCGGATAGTAGAAGATAATCAGCTGCTGTCACCAGGATCGAACTGGGTGAATACTTTGAGCAGCTACAGCAATCAGTCATCAGTGATCTTCACACAAATGAAGGAATAAAATAGTCCAGAAAAAAGCAAGGTTCAAAACACAGCTGAGAAGCCCAATACAACAGAAAAACAGAATAACAGATAAAACAGCTTCCCCAGGGCTCAGCCGGCGGGCAGGGGTGGCAGCCTCTGTACTCTGACCCCAGCAGATCGTTGAGACAGTTTGCACCCAGGACCAGTCAATAGGATTTACCCCGTCCGAACCACAGAAATCAAAGTAGATTAGGAACAAAACAAAGAGAACTCAAAGTGGGGCCTCAGGGATTCGTGGACTAGTGAGATGCTCAGGCAGCATCTCCGCCTTTGCAGTGTCAGGATTGTACATGGGGCAGGATGGAACTGAGGCAGCATGGCTCTTACTGCTGACAGCGGGGTGCACACTGGGAAAAGCACAGACAGAACTTGGCTGTCAGTGTGTGCAGGTCAGGGGACAATTTGGAGGTGTTGGTTCACCTTTTACCTTGTGGGTCCCAGGGGTCAAACTCAGGTCAGCCAGTGCTTTTAGCCACTGAGTCATCATCTGCCCTATAATGCTGTCTTAGAAATGATGCCTTCGGGTGAAGGACTTGCCACATAAGCCTAGTGACCTGAATTCAGTCTCTGGGGCCCACGTAAGGGTGGGAGAAAGAGTCAGTTCCACAACGTTGTTTTCAGACCTTCACATGCTGTAGTCTGCCTGAGCCTGCACACACATCTCATACACAGTAATAATGAACAAGAAAACTAAAGCATGCAAACAAAGAAACAGTGCCTAGTGTTGAGTTTCTGTTACTCTGTTCAAATGATGGTGTGTTTCCTGCTTGTCACAGTCGATGCTGCGGGGGAGAGGAGGCTGCTACAAACACACTTTCTACGGCATCGAGAGCCATCGCTGCATGGAAGCCACCCCGAGCTTGGCGTGTGCGAATAAATGTGTCTTCTGCTGGCGGTGAGTGGAGGTGCACGGTGAGGTGACCAGATACTCAGCACTGCCCGCGGAGTGTGGACCAGTCTCCAGCAAAGTTTCAAGAAGAATGTCAGCCTACATAGCCCTATCATGAGTGTGCTGATAGAGTTCGTGCCTTAGGGTTTTATGCTGTGGTCAGACACCGTGACCAAGGCAGCTTTTATAAAGGACACCATTTAACTGGGGCTGGCTTACAGGTTCAGAGGCTCAGACCATTATCATCAAGGCGGGAGCATGGCAGGCAGACATGTGGCTGGAGAAGGAGCTAAGAGTGCTACATTTTGACCAGAAGGCAGGTAGGAGGGGCTGCTCCCCAAAGCTCTCTTCCATCCTTGGTGGATCTTGAGCACTAGGAGTCCTCAGAGGCCACCCCCAGTGACACATTTCCTCCAACAAGGCCACATCTCCTGATAGTGTCGCTCTCTGTGTGCCAGGCATTCAAACACAGGCGTCTATGGGGGCCAAGCCTATTTAAATCACCACAAATAGTGGTTGAACATTGTAACTAGGGGCTGGAGAATAACTCAGTGGTTAAGAGCACTTGCTGCTCTTAGGACTGAGTTTAGCTCCCAACTCTCACATCAGACAGTTCACAGTTGCCTGAAACTCCAGCTCAGAGGGATCTGATGCCCTCTTCTGGCCTCTGGAGTCATCTGCACATACATTTATATAACCACATATAGATAAACACAGGGAAAAAAAATGAGAGCTGAAGCAGTGAGGCCTGTGTGTGTTACATAGTCTAAGGAACACTGAAGGAAAAAGAAATAGCCAAAGAATAAGAAGTGCTGCAGATGTAGCTTAGTCGGTAGAGTGCTTGCCTTCATGCGTGAAGCCCTAGGTTCTATTCCCAACACTGCCTAAACCACATACAGTGGTCCACACCATAATTCTAGCACTGGGGATATGGGGCTAGAGGATTAGAAGCTAAAGGCTATCCTCAACTACATGGGGAATTTGAGGGCAGCTTGGCTATATGGGAGTCTGTCTCAAACCAAAAGACTGGAGTATAGAGAGAAGCCACACCCACTGTTGTTGAGAAACTCGAGTGCTTGGTGTAGGTTGTGGTTTCTAAATCTTGGGTGCTTCTGCTCCTCTTATGTGGTTTAGGAGTTATCAACTCACAGTGGAGATGCGCTGGCCAGAGGTCACTGACGTGTGTGTCTGTATTCAGTTTACATGACTAAAAGCAGAAAGAAGGAGCTGGAGGGAGGCTCAGCAGTTAGAAGCACTATTCCTTTTCAGAGGATCAGGGAAGCCGATGCCTCTTCTGAGCTCCTTGAGTACCTAGACATAGGTGCTCATATACCCACAGACATACCCATAAATAAATAATATGGTATTTTTTAAAAATCAGGTTCATTTGTTTGGTCAGCTTGTACCTGGAGTTGACTCTGAGGCAAGAGCCGAGCAGCCTGCTGATGGACCTCTCCACCTATCTCTGCCATGTGCCGTGACTCTGAGCTGTGGAGCTTTGTCGGGATAGCAGCTCTAACCGTATGCTGGACAAGCTAGTCACAGTAGACTCTGGGATGTCATAACAGGGGGCCTTAGCGCTCTGCACTGTGGTTACAGGCACCATACGAATCCTGTGGGCACTGAGTGGCGGTGGAAGATGGACCAGCCGGAACTGATCTTGAAGGAAGCCATTGAGAACCATCAGAACATGATTAAACAGTTCAAAGGTATTTGCCTGCTTGTTTATTTTATTTTCCTTGTTATGAGACAAAGTCTTGATATCTCAATCTGGCCTTGAACTTGCCTTGTACTGGAGGATGGCCTTGGACTTCTGATCTTTCTGCCTCTGTCTCTAGAGTACTGGCATTACGGGTGTTTATCACTGTGCCAGCTGGTCTTATTCTGTGGTGGGGATGGAAGCCAGGACCTCATACATGCCTACATGCTAGGCACACATTCCACCAGCTGAGCCACATCCTCTCTGAAAAGAAATTCCAGTACCCGCCAACAAAGCCTGGATCACAATGATGGAAGAATGGCCTCTGTAGGCATCAAGTTTTTGCAACCTACTTTTAATAAAGGTTCAACCTCTCCTCTAGCCCACCACCCAGCAGAGGTAGTGGAAGAGAAAAGTTCCTAGGATATGGGGGAAGTGGACCTGTTCAGCAATAGTTCTTTGGGGGCGAGCTTGATCTTCTTTGGCAGCAGTCCAGTCTCATAGCAAACACCAAATACGATTCAGCAGCTGCAGACCAGTCCTCTAGGCAGGCAGACACCAGCATGAACCAGCAGCTACAGTCCAGTCCTTTAAGCAAGCAGACATCAGGCAGCTGTCAATCCTGAAGAAACCGCCAGGCTCACCAACTGTCTTAAGGTGAGGCTGGAAGTTGCCACTGGAACCTCATAAGCAATTCTTGGTGAGTTTCTCTCGATGGCACTGTTATCACAAGTTGAGCTCAACAACACTATGCAAGGTGAATCAATACATGCAGGTCGTTAGCGAAGAATAGTGAGGTGAAACAAACCAAACTAAAGCTCAGTGCTCGTCTCCCACTGTCTGTGGGGTCATATGTATACCCCTTCATCCCAGGTCCTTTCACGTGTCGGCTCTATCCAAACATCCTTTCATCTCCGTCTGCTTCAAAAAAGCAGTCTTTCACATGTTTGCTTTAGCAAGACATCCTTTCACCCGTGATGTAACTAACTTACCAGAGACGGCCAGCAGAGCAGATCTGTGAGAGGTAAGGCAGTTTGGCTCAGAGTGACGCAGTAGCGGTGTTGGTTCAAACTTAAGGGAGTCAGACCCCGAGTAGTTGAGTAGTTTATTTTAGGCATATTTAAGCACAGCATAATTTGGAAAATATGTTTGCTGGTGATAATTAGCTCAATCCGTGTGCACAGCAAAGCTGCAGAAGTGGCTGTACGGAAACTCAGTAAAGTGCAGGCGACGTCTTCCATAGAGATGGAATCTATAGATTCGTCAAGGAGCTCATGAGATGGGTCTCGGGAGGATCCAGTGTGGCCTGGCCACAGGACGACACAGAGCTCACCAGGCTATTAACCATGGCTGTTCCCAACCTTCTGGGTGGAAGACAGGTGAAAGACGTCTCCCTTCGAAGAGACAAGTGTGTGTTTCACATTCCTGGTGTCTCCAGTGCCTATCTGTGGGCACAGGGACCTCCATGCCTCCTACACTACTGTGAATCTTGCTGTGTGGAAGCAAAACTGTGGCCCCTTTAGCTTTTATATTTCCATCAGATAGAAGAATTAACAATTCCAGCCAACGTTTGTTAGCACCCAGTGTGAGGTGCGCTGTCTGTACGTTTGTTCTGGGGACGTGTCCTGTTGTCTTGTCGTCATCGTTCCTAAATGCCTTTGCTGTGGCTTCTTGAGAGCATGAGATGCCTTCGTGAGTGGTCCTGATGCTTTAGTCTGTAGAGAGATGGGCTCAGTGGTTTAGAGTGTTCTCTTCCCAGCCCCCACTCGAGGTGGCTTACAACCTCATCACCACAGCGTGGTGATCTGGTGCTCTCTTCTGGCCTCTGCAGGTACTAACTACACTCATGTGCACATACCCCTTCTCTCCCAGACACATACCATACTCATAATTAAAGATAAGGTAGATATGGGGGCTCAAACCTTTAATCCCAGCACCCAGGAGGCAGAGGCAGGAGGATCTCTGCATTTAAAGGACAAGCTGATCTACATAGGGAATCTTTGCCTAAAAAACCTAACAAGGTAACTATATTGGTTAGTGAGGTGGGGTTGCCTCATTGCATTTGTGAATAAATGCCCCATGAAAAGTGCGGTGTTCTTAATAAGATGCCTTCGCATGGCCCACAGTGATGCGGCAGAAGCTAGTTTTCCAGTTCAGTTCTGCTGAATACTTAGATATATTTGGCTTCACTGGGAGCTCTGGCTCCAGACTTTACTGTGAGTCAGAGCCATCTGCGGCTGCTCAAACACCGACTGCTGCTCCTTCCCAGAGAGGAAGTCTAGCGAGCTGAGGCCTGTGACTGTACAGTTCTTTATTTTCTCGTCCTGCTTTCCTTCTTTTTCTTCTGTTTTTGAGATGAGGGTCTTACTGTGTAGCTCAGGCTGGCCTTGAACTGCTCCTCCTGCTTCAGCCTCCTGAGGCCTGGGATGACAGGTGTGAGCCTCCAGGGCTGGCAAATGTGTGCTTCTCACAGGATTCCAGGAATCTGCACTGTTGAACTTGGGTGTGCAGTTGATGAGAGCCTCCTGTAGACAGACGGGTTGAACTTGTGACATGATGGTTTTATGTAGTGACTTACTGTGCACATTGGTGAATTGTCCTGTATTGTTGGAGCCCACTAAGAAGGTGGCTCTAGAATCAGGGCTGCAGGTACTCCACCCCTTTCCAATGTCTCAGATGCAGCTCTTCCTAAGGTCAATGATATTTGGAGTTGATTGGAAGGCATCAGAATAGATTCATTGCTTGGGTGTCTGTCTGTCCTGACATCATCATAGCAGGAGACAGGGGATGTTGAATTTGAGATCCTGTTTTCATCAAACTGAAAAAAGAAGTGGGTGGGAAGGGACAGGGACAGAGAGAGAAAGAGAGAGTTCAACTTCCAGAACCCATATGAGAGATCTGGGCATGGGTGGCATGTGCATGCTGAGAAGACAGAGGCAGATGGATTCCTAGGGCTTGCTGCCAGCCAGCTTTGCTTCCTTGGTGATCTGCAGGCTGATGAGAGATCAGCAAGATGGATGGTACCTGAGGAGTAAGGACGCTGTCCTCTGGTGTCTACACTGGGCGTGCACATATACCAATACAAGCATATCTATACACCTGACATTGTGAAGTCTCCATCAAACATGTGTCATGGCTGTCACGCTCAGCCGTGGACCTGTATCATGAGAATGAAGAAGAAAATGTCTCATATTTGATTACCCCAACTTAAGACGTGGAGATCCTTGAGCCAGGCATGGTGAGGCTCACCTACAGTCCTGGTACTTAGGAGGCTGAGGCAGGAGAATAGTAAGTTCTAGCACATCTTGGGCTATGTAGTTTGACGCCATCTTGGATTTCACAGTGAGACCTTACCTTAAGCCACAAAAAAGAAATAAGGATATTGTATGTGGATTAGTGCATCGTTCATCGTGTGTGTGTGTGTGTGTGTGTGTGTGCCATTTGCTTTACTAAATGTTAGGCTGAATCCCGAAGCTCTGCTTTCTTTGGTGTCATTCTGTGAGTTTCTGTAAGTTTGCTCCTTAGTTTGTCTGATGACTGTTCTTGGGATGATTCAGGAGGAGGAAGCTGCTGCCCAGGATGAGGGAAATGGCCCAGAAGTTGCTTAGCAACAATGAAACCAGGAAAACTCGAAAGGGTTAAGATTTTGTGGATTGGATTGTGTGCGTGTGCATGTGTGATGTGTGTGCTTGCATTTTGTTTGTGCTTGTTTATATATCCATGTTGTGTGTGTGTGTGTGTGTGTATTTGTGTCTGTGTCTCTTTGTGTGTGCCGATTCCTGAAGCTGTCTCTCTAGAGCCCACATGTGAGCATTGCTTATTCATTTGGCTGCCTGACAAATGGCTCAGCTTCTTGTCTGACTTGGAATACCGGATGTACTTTTCCCTCACCATACTATCCCAGGGGTTTCTGTTGGTTATGTTGTTGGGTTCATTGCTTGTTTTGTCTCTGTTGTTCAGAGCTCCATTGCTCAGGCCTTACACTCAAAACTTCTCCCTGGGACACCTTGTTCCCCCATGCACGTATCCGATCAGCAAAACACCGCCCTGGTGATGCCTTGCAGTCAGCCTCAGCTGCAGCCCCCTTCACACTAGCTGCCTCCCCAGTCCCTCCTCAGTCCCTCCACAGTCACCATCTTGCTCCGTGTCACCAGCAAGCCTTCATTTTTTGCTTATTTGTTTTTATCTCCCTGTGTGCACGGGACTAGGGGGACAGGGTTGCATCAAAGTCTTATGTAGCCCAAGCTGGCCCCCCACTCACCATGCAGCTGAGGATAACCTTAAACTTGTGCTTCTTCTCCCTCCTCCTCCTGAATGCTAGGTTACAGGAATGCACCTCTATTCCTGTTAGCAGGCACTTGGCCAACTGAGGCACATCCTCAGCCCCTAACTTAATTCTTGTTCATGTTCGTCTTCTCCGTTCACCATGTTAAACATCAGGGGAGGAGAAGGCTGGAGCCCTGCCTGAGGATGCCAGACTGACCTCGTAGTAGAGTCAGAAGTTGAGCCCAGTGCTTCTCCCCCACTCCCCAAGGTCTAGCCAACATACCCTCGTCCCACATTCAGAGTTCGAGGCTGATTTTGCAGTTCAGGGTAAACCCACCCCTCTCTTCTGCTGCTCATGGGGAATTTAAAGCTAACCAGGACTGTTAGGCAGTGCTGGGTTGTCTTGGCAACACAGACTGAGTTTAAGGATCAAGTTTTATTTAAAACTTGGATTTGAGTTAAATCTTAGATTTCGATAATGCAAGGAAAAACTCACTCAGAAATACTGCTGGGAAACGCACATGCTGAGTGTCAGGCACAAAAAAGTGTCGTCTGTCAGTTTTAGGAGTTTAACCTGCTTCCCAGTCCTTAGATAGGGCAAGAGTGGTTTACTTGCATGTTTATATTTCCAAGTACATTTTAAGTTCTTTATTTTTGCTGGGACATTACTCTCTCTGTTTCTCTCTCTCTCTGTCTCTCTCTCTGTCTCTCTGTCTCTGTTTCTCCCTCTCTCTCTCTCTCTCTCTCTCTCTCTCTCTCTCTCTCTTTCTCTCTCTCTCTCTCTGTGTGTGTGTGACAGAGGGGGGGAGGGTTCAAAGCAGGATGGCTGCTGGGTGTCCTGCCCTATAATTGCCCCTCCTATTCTTTTAGACAGGGTCTCTTGAAGTCCCCAGCAATCCTCCTGTGACTATACCCATTGGTGCTTAGGGTTATGGAGGTTTGCATGGCCACGCCCAGCTTCATATCTGAGTGCTGAGATCTGAACCCAGGTCCTTCATGGTTATGAAGAGCTTTTGCCACCACACCATCATCCCTCTAGCCCCACCAACAAGGTTCAGGGCTAAAGAGATGGCCGAGTGGTTAAAACACTAACTGCTCTTGGAGAGGCCCCGGGATCTGTTCCCAGCACCCACAGGACAGCTCACTGTCCATTAACTCCAGCTCCAGGTGAGCTGGTGCCCTCTCCTGGTCTCCTTGGACACTGCACAAATGTGGTGCATGCAGGCAAACTACCCATACCTGTAAAATAAAATCATTATTTTAAAGAGAAGAGAATTAAGTTTTAAGGTGGGTGTGGTGGCCCACTCCTGTAATCTCAGCAGTGAGGGGGCTGAGACAGGAGGATTACTGAGAGTTTTGGGCTAGCTTGGGTCACAGACTGAGCTCCTGTTTCAAAAAATAAAAATAAGAAAGGGTTTTCCCTCTGAAACCAAAGCATCGTTAGAGGTCATGGAAGCATCGTTCTCTGCTTGTGCCTTGCTCTGAGGTTCTTCACTGCTCTCTCAGGCGTGCCCGGCCTCAAGGCGGAGCGATTTGAAGAGGGGATGGAGGTCAAGCACTGTGCCCTGTCGCTCGTGGGTGAGCCGATAATGTACCCAGAGATCAACGGGCTCTTGAAGCTGCTGCACCAGTGCGGGATCTCCAGCTTCCTGGTCACCAATGCTCAGTTCCCTGAGGCAATCAGGTAAGGCCACGGCATCGTCACTGCACTCCAGGGTCATTACTGTCTTGGAGACAGTGACCAGTGGAAGGCGGGCCTGACACTGCTCCAGAAGTCACTGTTTAGCTGAGGCTGGCCACCAGCTGGGTCCTGGGGACTAAACTCAGGTCATTAGTCTAGGCTTGCCTTTCCCTACTGAGCCTTCTTACACGCACGCCCTATATGATCATACTTCATTCAGAAATTTAAAATTAGAATGTGGCATCATGGTGTCTACACAGCTTTTGGACTTTATGACAGTGAGGGTTGGGTTTAAGGTTGTATTCCAACATATTCTCCTTTTCCATCATTCTAAGTAGTGATGGAGTTTATGGATTTTATGTGTATGTGCATCTGCTTATTTGCATATGTACCATGTATGCTGAGGCATCTTCAGAGGCCGGAAGAGGATATTGGCAGTTATGAGCCATTTGATAAAGGTTCTGGAAACCACCCCAGCTCCTCTGCCAGAGCAGCAAGTGCTCTTAATTGCTGAGCCATCTCCCCAGTCCCTGTAGAGCCTTCTTTATTGACATGTTATATGCAGAGATAGAGAGGAGGGGGTCAGGTCAGGCTGGGAGCCTTGTGACCTGTCTTGTTACAGAGGCCAGGTCTAGGCAGAAATACGATCCCTAGATCCTAGGAGATTTCTTCAGGGTCCCTGTGCTGCTGCTGTCCGGTCCTTTAGAGTGAGCTCTGTCATTCCTACAGACCTTCTTTCTTCTTTGTCTGCTTCTGGAGTGAGATCTGGAGACTTTCTTGACCTTGTGTCTCCGATACTTAACATAGCGTCACCTGTCAGAACTTGTGATTTCTGTGTGTAGTGGATGTGTATATGGTAGGTCTGACCTTTGGGAATTGCTGTCCATCATCCTAAGTGGTTACACATACAGGAAAAGGTCAGGCCAGTCTCTGCTGTGCTCAGGAAGGGTTATGACTGAGCACTGGGTGTCTGAGGCCATGCTAGATACGCAGTAGCTTTCAGGACAGTTCTTTTTACTTCCTTTGGTTTCTGAAGCAGGGGCTCACTTTATCCTAGGCTGCAGCACTGGGATTATAAAGAATTAAAATAATTAAATTGCATCTTGTGTGTTTCTTTGTATGTGTTTGCCATGTCATGTCTGTGATCTCCACAAAGGACAACTTTCGAGTCAATTCTCTTCTCCAGTGGGTGTAGGGACAAAACTTAGGTCATCAGGCTTGGTAGCAAGTGCTTTTACCCACTGAGTCATCTTAGAGGACCCCATAGTGTTGATAAACACTCCCAGTAGAAGTTGGATGTGGTGGTAAATCTGTAATCCTAGCACTGGGAAGACCAAGGCAGGAGGATGGTGGGTTTGAGAAAATCTCTACATAGCAAGTTTTAGATCAACCTGGTGAGAGCTGGACTCAGAAAAACAAAAGAAAAGAGCAACACACACACACACACACACACACACACACACACACACACACACACACAC